TTGAATATTTCCTTATTTCTGAAATATTCTTATCCTGAATATTTATGAATATTTCTTCTCCTCTCTGGGTATTTCTCTTTTTTCTATATCTACACACATTTCGTAACCTTTTCCATTTACGCCTTCTTGTCCCTTCCTTCTTTCCTCCTCTCTCTCTCTTTCTAAATTTACTTTCTGTATCTCTGTCGTTCTTTTTAATTAATTTATTTTCTTAATCTCCATCTTCTTTTTGTATACGATTCGTAGATTCTCTCTCGCTCTCTCGCATATACATTCACTGTCTACTTCTGTCTTTTTATCCACGTGTTCTTTGGCATCTTTATTCTACATTCTTCCACGTCTCATTTTTTCATATTTTCTATGGCTTATCAAGCTTTATTTTTCCATATATTTCTGTGATGTTTTTATCATTACATTGACTTCCTTTTATTTTTCCATTAATGTTAGTTTTGCTATGTAAATCGTCATTTAATTAGACCATCTATGCCGCTTTTAAATAAAATAAGTGAATATGTAAAAAAAAATATGGAAATATTTATGGTGATAATACTAATACTAATTATGATAACTGTTTATAATGAAATGATTTAAACTCATTTGGCAATGCTAAACAATGCCAGATCTCTATGCACTTCTTGTCACTATTTCTCTTTGGATTCCCCTTTCGTGCGCGGGGACCCTACATACGTAAGACTATTTGATAAAGAATTAATAAATCCTTTTGTTTATTAAGAATGAAAAGTCAGTGATTGACGAGACATAATATAAGCTTTATGGAGACTGCATGTAAGAGCTTATTTCAGTCATATATATTTGATAAAAAGTAAATCTCCAAGACTTGTTAATTGCCTTCAAATTATTGAAATTTATTTGGCAGTACTAATCAATGTCGGTTCTCTGTGCATCTGTTTTAATATTATTGTTTTATCTTTATCATTAATAAACATCATTCTTCAATCCTCCGACTTAATTTACTCAAAGGAAGGTCAAGGGAATAATAATGAAAAGCACATGAGTATGATAATGATTATTTAATCACATGTACAGTAGTTACATTTGAGTAATTGGAGCTTCAATAAAAAAGACCATGAAAAATAATCATCATGTGAATATACATTAAAAAAAAAAACATCATATGTAAATTTACAATAAAAAAATCAATCATTGTATATAAATATCATCGTGAACCACAGAGGCAAATAGATTCAAAACGGGAAATTAAACATTGCCGTTACATTTCTTGAACTTATCATTCCTATCTTTTAATACGTTGTCCTCAGTCAACAAGAGGTTTCAAAGATAACTGCTGAAGTAGCGTAGCTTCTATATATACAATTTACTGAAGAGTTGTAGGCTTAGCAGGAATCTTTGGAACCACAGGCTTGTCATGATCAAATAAAAAGTTGACTTAACAGACATGAAGCTATGACATTTATATATATATATATATATATATATATTATATATATAATATAATATTATATATATATATATATATTCCCTCTCTAAGGACAGTACTCACTTCTAAAAATCTTGAGGGATGTCCAATAACAATAAGTTCAAGAAAAGACGGTGGACAGAGTCAAATATTTAGACTAATATCAAGGTCCTCCTCGAGGCGGAGCAGCGGCAAGGGGACGAGCCGAGAGCCGCGAGCAGGGAGCCAAGCGCAGAACCCCCACAGGTCTCCCCTCAGAGGTTCAAGGTGGACTGGGTTGGAAGAGGAGGCTGGAGGGGGGGAGGTCATCCAGTGTCGGGTTGCGAGAGGAGTGGGACCACTTGTTAGGAGTTGGGTTGACAGTGGCGTTGCAATGGGAGAGAAGGGCGGCTGCAAGGAGAGGATGAGGAGGGGGGGGGTATGTGGGGTAGGCAGAGGGAGTTCAGTGGGGCTGCGATAAAGACTTTTCTCTAAGACTTGAAGACTCTCCTGGTTACTGCGACAGTGTATAACCCAAAGGCTCCGTGTGGTCTGGGATGCACAGTGTCTTCAGCGCGCCGATCAACGCATACTCATACGCATACACACACATAAACATAAACATGTACACATACGCTTGTCTTCGCATTCACTTCGATCAATTAAAAGGTATTCGTCAGTTAAATATGTACACATCATCGGCCAACCAATATGGCTGGCGGAATGGGAGGTTGTTCCCAATCAAAATTCAGTTAAAAAAAGAGTTAGTAATTAACATGGACACTGTACAGACGGATGTAATGTGGACCTTGGTGAGAGTGTGGAGGAGGGAAGAGAGAGAGGAAGGGATAAAACTAGGGGAAAGAAAGACCGAGGTTGGGATACATAAAAAGGACCTGAGGAAAATTTTAATACTAGAGCAAAAAAAAAAAAAAAAGGCATCTCAACCGTACCACACATGTACCACGCCTGCGTCTACATTCACGGCAAGGCTCCGAAAATTTACATTTTAAAATATCTAATAAGAGGGGGAAAAAAAAAGATAAGTAACTGTACAAAATTGTGACGAGATCAGTGACTTTGAGCCGACAAACCTTAGTGTCATTCTTCATAAGACTCATTTTCCTATTTACAACACGCAGAAAACAAGATCCGTTGAGTACTACCTTCTGGCTCAGAATAGCTGATAGGGTCACTGACATACAAACGCATTATATAAAATCCTAAACGTGTGCCTGGAGGACGGCGGGACGGGGAGGTGGGAGGAGGAGGGGGGGGGGGGAGAGAAGGGAACTCAGTATCATGATGCAACAATTTATAATCCATTAATAAAGGAAGGGGTGTATTCCTTAAGCACCTATACCCACATGCAAGTTCTTTCTGGTTCAAGTCAGTTTAATTTTCGGCGGGAAAATTAGACAGACGAGAAGTTAATAGCGAGAATAATAATATATGTATATTATATATTGCTCTTCTCTTAAATTTTTGTTTTACTTCCTCTTCTTTTTTCCGAGATGATCAGAACATTTCAAAAAGAAGGCCGAATAAAAACCCAGGAGCGAGAGTAAGGTCACAGAGGTTCCGACTCCAAAACAAAAGGCTTCGGGAATCCTGTCTCGAAGCACCGCTCGAGACGAAATGGATCGGCGAACATCCTTTGAAAAATGACTCTTCTTATGTATTCTTCTCTTTTTTTCCATGATTAATCCTTCTTGCATGACCTTACTTGACCTCTAGTCCCACTCCCCCACGTACATGGCACGCGGATGGGGCGGGGGTGGGGGGAGGTACCCCGGTGGGAAGTGGCAGCCGTCCGTAGATGTGGGAATAGGCAGACTCGGTGAAATCAGAGTCTGCAAGAGAAGAAAAAACGAAAACAAATACGTGTTAGAATTTCGTGAAGACATTCGGGAAAATAAGTGGCTGAGTTGGTGTCTTAATTTTTTTCTTGATTATGTGCCATCTGATCTAAATCATAGTCTCTATTTCTAAATCTAACTAAGAGATTGCGCAAAATGGCTGCTCTTTACAAGGCATTTGGTAATCAATATCGTACAGCCTTTTACTTCTTTATCACTTGCTAACCTCTAAACTTACTTTCTTTCCAACATCTATATCTACAACGTATCTACAAGAACTGTGAAGGTGACAACAACAATACACTCCTACAAATAATACAACAACAAAGAAAATACATCGATCATGTACAGGATGGTGGTGAAGGAGATACAGAATCCACCCACCACGCCCGCATTGCGCCCGCCCTTCCACGCCCGCAAGACATGCACTTTCAAGACGTAGTAGATAGGTCACCATCATCTACTTCAGTGTACTCTACGTGACTCTACTTTCTCAGAATCTACAGATAGATCTACATAAGCACAAACAGGAAACAGCGACAGGAGAAACGAAAGAATCGTAGTGTTTATTGCTGCATGCATAACAAAAGAGTAAATTATGAAGAAGGGAAATAAGAAAAAAAATCTATCTCATACAGGTATATGCATACATGCATATGTACATATAAATATATGTGTAATATATACATAATGATATTTATACATATATATATACATTATATATATATACATATATATACATACACATGTATGACGCATATATACATATACCACTTATTTACAAGGAATTTCTGTTCACACGTGTTTTTCTGTCTACTTTAAACAAAGAACGTTCCAAGGCTAGCAGGAGTCGAGCTACCATGCACGGGTACCTCCATGCCTTCTGCAGTAAGAATATCATCCCTTCCATCCTTTGCCAAATTAGAAGGTCTTCAATAAGCCTATATATATGTACATACATTTCCTAAAGGCCAGCATCTCTATTTGCAAGACTCTCTGAAGGAGGCAATGGTGATAGGCAGTAACAAAGCGAATCCACAGTTACTTCTTGCCCTATTTGTCCTATTTCTCTATAGTGCATTGGGGAAAGCAGAAGGGGATACTATACTATACATACATACATATAATATATATATATATATATATATATTATATATATATATATTATATATATATATATATATATATATATATATATTTCATTATTTCTCTTGAATCACAGGGGCTTGGGGTGTTGATGAGGTGGAGGCCTAAGAGGAAGTATATTGATGGATTCGCCAATGAGCCCACAGCACATCATTTAACTATACAAAAGAAACTTTTTATCCCTGTGCCCCTGGTCAGCTCTGATAGCGAGGTAGGGTGGACAGTTTTATCTGAACTCTTCGGCAATCTTTGATTTGGGATTTCCAGCATAGAATCTTTACCTCATCCTTGTTTACTTCTGCCATGACAGCTTTAGTACCTCAGACTGACCAGAACATAGCTCTTAAAGATACAATTTTCCAATTTGTGTAGAGGGAGGGGGTGGGGTGTTGCACATAAGTAAACAGAATATCCACACAGTCTCATCACCGTGCCTATATATACGTATACAAGTGTATATATATAGGATGGAAGGACCTTACCTAGAACAGAGCAAAAGTTGGTGCTTTTCTTACACGCTTCCACTGATATTTTTGATTTAGTCACACCTCATGAGTCCCAGTACGATTCCCATTCCGTTTCTTAGGAAAGAGCGGAAGGTTTCGTTAAAACAAGGAATAACGAACTTCTCTTTTTTTTCAAATTCCGTTCAGCTTGTCCTCAGTGTCGCGTCGTAACGGTCATCGAACAAGTGGTCCGTTGATAAGGTGGTTCTCTACGTAACAAGTCGGTCAGTTGTTCGTTTTTTTTTCTGATATCGTGTTCATCCTTCATTCATCTTCTTCTGCTCTCTCTTGGAGTTCTTCGATTATCTTGTCTATTGTCGTCTTTTGGCTTTAATCGAGAATTTTTGGTCGTGAGTCCATGGGAAGGGGGGGGGGGTAGCTCAAAGTACTAAGATATGGGCTCGCCTTCTTGTGTTCTATGGTTTTATAATAGAGTGGAAATGGCATATATACGCATATACAATGTGTGTATGTATATATATATATATATATTATTATTATATATATATTATATATATATATAATATATATAATATATATTATAATATATATAATATACATATATATATATATAATATATATATAATATATATAATATATATATAATATATATACATAATATATATATATATATACATTTATATATATACATATATATATATAATATATATATTAATAATATACACATATAAATATACATATACACATATATATACATACATATACATGCATATACTTGTCTCATAGGGTGTGATACAAATACAAGTTCATACCATATAGTATGCTATTTAAGCATTTATTCACACATCTATGCTTGTTCTAGTCTTCACATTTGTTATATTTTAAAACACTTGATTTTGTTCTAACATTCCTTATACACTGACCTTATATATTCAATAAGATCAGTGAGGAAACAGTCTTTTATTGCTCAGTCACACCTAAGACTCATGTTCAGAGACACTTGGGGTACCTCAGACGAAGAGACGAACCGGCAACTCTCGCCCATCAGCCAATCACCGCTTGTCTCCGGCGAAGGCTCGACGTGATTGGCTGGCGGCGCGAGATGCCGGTCCAGACGAGCGACTGCTAGAAGCGCGACTGCCAGGTCAATGGAAGTGAATAGGAGCGCAACACTAGTGGCTATTCGCTTCTATTAACCTGGCAGTCGCGCCACTAAAGTCGCTCGTCTGAAGAGGGTTTACGGTGTCCCAAGAGGCTCTGAATATTGAGTGATGACCATGCGACAGGAGCACAGAAATACACATACATGAACTACTCACACACATACATACATACAGAAGGTCATCGGCTAGTGAAGTGTTACAATTCTAAGGGTTTAGAAGTATATGACTAATAGTTATGGAAATTTTGATTAATAGTGATTAAAATTTTAAAAGTGAAGCAACTGAAGACTAAGATGAGAAGTCTATTATGAGTCTTTGTGTGTGTGTGTGTGTGTGTGTGTGTGTTGTGTGTGTGTGTGTGTGGTGTGTGTGTGTGTGTGTGTGTGTGTGTGTGTGTGTGTGTGTGTGATTTCATGTTTTCAATGGAATTGCATATACGCCTACGTATTTATGAATGAGACATGTATGAGTTCAATACCAAGAGATTGTATGTGTATCTGCATAAGTAGGTGTGAATACTTTAAAAGGATCGAAATATGACCGTCTGTATATGCGTATGTATGCGTGCATGTACGTATATATAAACCTGTACACGTGTCTTCCATCTGAGTGTATTCAAGATACAAGTTGAAAAGTTAACTTTAAAAAATAGGGACTTTCACCTATCATAACTATTGAAGTAAAAAGTTTGTCTAACAAAGGATGGGACAGAGGCAAAGGAGAAAAATGCAATAAATAAATAAATTAATAATTAATAAAATAGAAATAATAAAAAAATAATATTCGGTCACTGAAAGTCCAGAGCGTCATCGCATGCAAACACAAAAGTCATTTGAAAGATTAAACATTAAAATTCTACAAGAAAGGAAAGACTGGCATCTCTAAAACTGCTAAGTGCCAATGCGTGCTTAAAAGAAAGTCTTAATTCATGCTAGCATTGATTTTGTTTGAGGAAAAGCTTCTTTTTTCATTATGTATCAATAAGTCATGCACAGGTTGAATGAACTGGTTAATTCCTGGCATTTTTTTTTTTTTTTTTTTTTTTTTTGTAATTTAAGAAACATGTCATGAATACTTTAATATTCTACATTTCCAGCATTCCTCAGAATTAAATATAATCAACGTTGCTTAAAAATTATCACGTAAAAATGCGTTAACAATGAAAACAAATTAGAAATGACAAGGAAAAAAATGATGATAGATTAACCTTAGACGTGACTTCATAAGCCTCATTCTTAACGGTTTTTACGTGATAATCTCCCTCCAAAACGTCTTTTAATCATGATATACATCGTATAAAAAATACACACAAATATCTTTCATGATTACACATTGAACAAATAAAACAACACATTAGTAGTGGCAGAGAAAGACATGGTAAATATAAATAAAGTTTTAAGCCTAAATTTCTCTACAACTCACCATTTCTTCCAGGCAAAGTTGGTACCACGAGCAGGGGTTCCGTTCTAGTCTGTGAATATTTTGCACTGGGTTGTGTTGCAAAAGAGCTAGAAGAGACAAAAAGAGAAAAAATACACATGCTTAGAAAAGGGTGTGGAGCGTGAGGAATTAACTGGTGCTTGGTGCATAAGCGCCGTGCTTTCTTTTACGTTTCCCGTTTTCTCTTTAAATGACCCGTTTTCTTTCTTCTTTTTAGATTTTTTTAAGCCCCGACACATTTGTTTTTAATGAGCGTCTACGTGTACCATCCCATTACCCATTAAAAACTATGTATAAAAAGAGAGAATACCCTCTTGCGGATCTTGTGAGGAATTGGGAATTTAATCATGATTCGGACACCGTAAGTGTAGAAGTTTTAAATTGAATTTACATTTAATTCTCAAACCAAAAAGTTACAAATAAACTCACGATGTCCGCCTTCTGTTATGTGTAAAGGTTGTGTGCGCATTTATCGTACAAATAATATCAGCACATTAACTGCCAAAACCCGTGTGCCTAAAATATGTTAAAAAATTCTAGGTAAAATATTCATATTTACCAGTAATGAGCACTTGACGCAAATATTAAAGTATATGCGTTTTTATTACGCGTTTCCTGCTTTCTGCATTAATCCGGACGACACACAATCTTACACACTGAGAACCTTACTGTATAATAAACTCTGTAGAATGAATCAAAGAACGACATAATATTTCTAACTACAATCCATTTCGTGATATCTTTCTCCCTTTGACAAATAAAAAGAAATGGATCTTATATCGTCCTTGTGACACACTCGCTCTCGAAAATGACTTACACGGGACGAACAGCGAAAGGTCGTTTAAAGACACATTCACAGACACTACGAATGTTGGATGTTTGGCTCTTCTGACTTTCTGATGATGTTTTTATGCCAGAACACTCAAAATAAAAGCTTGATTTTAGTCTTTTATTATACTTTCTTCAGTATTGATATATATTTTACTTTGTTTATTTATTTATTATTGGATTTTTGAAAGGGAGACTCGTAAGTCATTCTCAGAGAGCAGCATTGTCTACCGTGATGTACAGTACTAAGCCATTAAGCATAACGTGATCAACAGAGATGTGCATTCTACACTAAACACAGCAAGGGTACATCGAGGCACAAGCACACAGCAGCCATAATGCACTTTTTGCAGTGAAAGATTGAAATTAACTCTTCAATTTTCTTGAGACACAAAAGACAAATGAAAATTGACCAAAAAAAAATGGACACGCAAAATGGCTGGTATGCATTTCTTAAGAGATACAAACGATTTTAAGGAAAATAGGTGTGTTGTTTGGTAGTATTGGGAGGCTCAGTGTATGTGCAGGTGACAGCTGTCATGCAGTCATGGAGTCATGCAGTCCAGGGCGCAAGGCAACCACAAGGACCCGCAAAGTCCGCTCACCAAAGTCCTTTTTGACAAGCCTAGAAAAATTCTTCAGTTTCCCCTCTTTGTCAAGTTAAAAGGCGAGAGTTGGTCAGAAAATGGAAGTCGAGGGAGAGATTTTTTTGCTTAATTTCCGTTACTTAACTGTCATTACTTTTGGAAATTCGCTCGTCTGTTGCAGTTGTCATGATCACCAGAAAAGAAAAGGCGGAGCGGGAGGAGGCGGAGGGGAAGAAAAGAAGATAAATACAAGACATGGAAGAAGACAAGTTCGTCCTCCTTTCTTCTCTATCCTCTTTTTTATCATGTGTTTATGACTTTCCTCCTCTCCACCCCAGCCTCTAGAACAAAAAGGGAGATCCTTCCGAAGAAAAGAAAACTTCCTTAGTACCATAGACTACCTGGAAGAAGAAAAAATAATAATAATATAATCTGCAGTCGCCTTGACGAAGCAAAATTAGTGTGTCTGTCTCTCCCTTTCTTCCCCCCCAAAGCGTCTTAAAAAATAAAGGTTAGTAGAAGTCTCAATCTCCTTCCAGGTAGGCAGTCTCGTCTTATCTCTCACTATCTCTCATCTCCCTTATCTCTTAAACCGCCCATCCTGTGATCGGGGAAATGGTCTTGGCCTTACCGTGTCTGTCCGTCAAGAGGTGCCGGTGGGCGTCTTAAGGTCTCGCTGTGCACCTTCCAGGAGTAGGATGCAGGAGGGGAAGTGGAGGAGGTTGACTGTCGTGGGATGTGGGGGGGCGGAGGGGGAAGGGGAGTCAGGGTGGTGAGAGGGGAAGAGGGGGAGTGGGGGAGGGTGGTGAGAGGGGAAGAGGGGGAGTGGGGAGGGGGGTGGAGCCGGAGGGTGAAGGGGAATCAGGGTGGAGAGGGGAAGAGGGGAGTGGGGGAGGGGTGGTGAGAGGGGAGGAGGGGAGTGGGGGAGGGTGGGGCGGAGGGGGAAGGGAGTCAGGGTGGAGGGAGGAGGAGGGGAGGGAGGTGAGGGAGGGGGGGGTGGGGGGCCGGAGGGGGGAAGGGAGTCAAGATGGTGAGAGGGGAAGAGGGGAGAGTGGGGCCGGAGGGGGAAGGGGAGTCAGGGGTGGTGAAGAGG